ACAAGGAAGGGCTTCCCTCCAGCCCGTGCTAAGGCATCCGCTCCTTGCAAGGCCACAGAGAGCAGGGTGACCTCGGAGCACAGCACGGATCTGGCCTGTTACCTTGTTCCTGTGGATGTAGTAAAGTCCATTCAATAGCATCTGCATAACTTTCTTGATCTCTGAGAGCGTGAACTTGACGTGGGCATTGCTGAGAAGGCCAGCCAGGTCGTGCTCACAGAAGTCAAACACAAGGTAGATACTGCCCTTGCAGCGGTTGTATGGAGAGGCTACGGGAGAGGCAAGGAGGGACTGTCAGCAAGGGACCCTTAGCCCCGTCACAGCTCCTCCTGACCTCCAGCCACCCTGCTGCTCATACAACGCTCACTAGACAAAACCTCAGGGCACAGGAACACCGAGAACCAGGGACAGCCTGCAGGCCTCAAGATGCTTCGTAAAGAGGCACTAAGACAGCACAAATAGCAATGGCTGAATAGGAGATGAGGATCGGAGTAGTGAATGCCATCAGACAGGCAAGGGAAGGGCATGAAAATCTTTGAAAGCTTCTTTTTGTCTTGTTCTGTGCACGTACCGCCTGTGGGGTTTCCTCCCTGCAAGCTGCGGCCGGTAGGTGCACACACCACTAGCTGCCAGACAAGCACTATCGCTGATTGCATCAGTGATAGAGCAGGCACCTGCGAAGACAGCCCCAGGAAAAATGCAGAAACAGAGAAAAATCTATCTAACGTAACGCTGGAAAGTGAGGTTTTCTGCAACCTCAAAGCATCTACAAAAACGGACTGATCTGGATCAAAGTGATTTAAAACTCCAATTGCAATTTATAGCCAACAACAGAAAACCTCAAATGAAGCAATCGATTTCAACCTTGTTCCTAGAGCACACATGCAAAACATTATTAAAAAGAAAGGCTGATTTTCATCAGCTGTCATCAGCAAAACCTGCTGATCAGCAACTCCAACCGGAAAACGACAGCTAAGCTCAGCCCCCACGGAAACACACCGCTCTCCTCTGCCAGCTAGACTAGGTTTGCAGTTCCTGACACAGATACGGCCCTTACCGCACCTTTCCAGTGTAAAAAGAGAAAAGCGTCAAGTTTGAGAACAGTAAATACAACATTTCCACTTTACTGGCAACTGAGGTCAAGGTGGATTCGGATGAAAACTGGAATTCAAAAAAAAAACCCAAACAAGTGACTTGTCTACAAAAATATTTACCTTACGTACGCCAGCCACGCAATCATCACAACTCGTTTAATCACACAATGAATTAAAAATTAACTTCTTGTCAGCATTTCTACTCGTACTTGTTCAGACAATATCTACACGCAGTGGAGTACCAGAGTAACTTCAAGTTCCCAGTCCTAGGCCAGGGATTTCTACCAGTTCAGTGACCGGACTTTTAAAAAAAGTCCACCACCAGATACATGCCACTTTCGTTTTTATTTAACTGAAATGACTGACTAGAGAATGGCAGGCTTTAACATCAGCTGTCATTTCCAGAACTGTTTTTCCAGTACAAATCCATGTAGGAGAATGATACATAAAAACTAGCAAATGTTTTAAAGCAATTTCACTGGAAACGGAGCCAGGCCAGGTGCGCTGAGCATGCCAGTCACGCAGCAGTGGCACGCCGCGTGAGGTGGAAGTGCAGCTCAGAACCGCCCCACGTGGAGCCCCAGCCCTCACAGCACGAGCAGTTACTGTCACCCATGGAAACGCTGAGCGCGTCTCCAGCTGGAGCTGTGTCATCGGCTCAGAGCTGCCACGAACCATCCTAAGCCGACTGCGAGGGACGGCTCCAGCTCCTGACAGGGAACGGGCTGCGCGCAGCCACAAGATCAGCTCCATGCTGAGAACCCTCTACTTCAAAATCTCTCTGGCACTGGTTTATTTAAAGCCTCTCAGAGAGGAGTTTTCCAACACTGGCAGGATTCACCGCCATGGCACAAGCATATCCTAGCAGGACTGACAACAGCTTTTTCCACCCAGGCTGCAGCAACGTCCTAACCCATCTAGAACCTGTTTTCCAAGATGAGTGTACCATCACCCCACATCACATGCAGGAACAGAGGCCCGTGCTCAGCTAGAGGACCCCACTCCCAGCACAAAACACCAGCCTGCTCAGCGGCGAAGGAGGGCAGAAAGAAAACCAACAGCCAGCGCGCGAGAGACCCCCGCAAGCTACCTTTGGTCCTGCAGATTTCAATGAGGTTCACCACGTTCTCGTGTTTGAGCAGCTGGAGGATTTTAATCTCTCGCAAGGCTGTGATGGGGAACTGGAAAGGAGAAAGAGGACAGGGATTAGGAGCACAGGAGACCAGGCCACCTCTGCCTAGAAAGCAGGAGAGACGTGACCGCAGCAGCTTGGCAGGGGACCTGCTCGAGCAGCAGCATGACAGGGCACTGAGGGGCAATCAGAGCTTTAAAACCAAACACCAACACTGGGATTGCCAAAATGTATTCACCATTGGGCCACCGTTGACGAGACAGACTCTGCCACGAGACAGAGGTGTTTGGGTGGTGCCGAGACCGGCACACAGACACCCCTCCCTCCTCTCCCCGCACGTTTGTAACAGCTTAAACTGCAGGGCAGCCTCCCCAGCTGCTGCCTGCACTGTTTACGCTGTCGTTCTCTCCTCAGTTTGTCCCATCTCTGCACACCTCTGAGCACATGCCTTTCACACGTTACCCAGTTCCTCCACGAACGACAGCCAGCGTGGAGCCCTGCGCCAGGGGCAATGGGGTTTTGTGCAGGGGGATGGACGCGAGGGCAGTGTCACCTCCCAGCAGCCGTCCCGCACAGCCCAGTCACCTCACAGCTACAGCACCACACTGCTGCCATGTGCCTTTGCAGCCGAGAAGGTGCTAACAGGCCGTATGCTTTGGCAGGGCACCACAAGACCCAACGTTATCACAGTATCAGTAGGAGAGGAAAAAGGCCACAGCGGTGGGATCCTGTCCACACCCTTACAGGTTCGAGACCTGGCACATTATATCAGTAAATGTTGTTAAAGAACAGAGTGAAAATGCATCTCTGCCATCCCAAAGATTACCTTCCACCTATGTACCCCTCAGTCCAGGCCTTCCCAAACACAGCCCGCACTTACCCCCTCCTTCTCATTTTCCATCAACACTTTCTTCAGCGCTACTTTCTTGCCCGTCTGACGATGTTTGGCTTTGAAAACTTCCCTGTAAAAACAGAAAGAAATCTGTAAGCAGCACAAGGAAGAAGGGAAGGAGCCAGATGCTCCTGACCAGGGACAAGGCCAAACAAGACACACTAGAGAGCCACACAGACAGCTCTGTGCTGAGCCTAACCAGCCCGGCCATGTCCCATTTGGACCAAAGGCCCTCAGGACGGGCTGAGCCAACCCAGAGCCCACAGCTCCCCCAGCCCCGCGAGGATTTTGGGCGAAGTTGCACGTTTTGGGCAAAGCTGCAGGTCCCCGCCCTGACTGTAACTCTCCTCGGCCAGAGCCTGGGACAGCGTGGGGCCTCGGGGTGGGAAAAAGAGGGCTCGGGGGCGAGGCTGGCTCCCTGGGGCCGGAGGGGTGACTGGGGAAAGGCCACCCGAGCAAGGGGCACTCAGGCCCGGGGCGGGCAGGCTGCGGGTCCGGGCCCGGGCAGCAGGCCCGAGGGCAGGGGAGGCCGGGGAGGGCCGGGGCCGGGCGCGGGGCGGGCCGGGGCCAGAGAGACGCTCACCCGAAAGTGCCCTGCCCGATCTTGGCGAGCTTCTCGTACTTGGAGACCTCGTCGCAGAAGGGGCACTCCACCATGTCGTACTGCTTGGCCATGCCGCCCGCCGCCGTTGCTACAGGGACGCGCCACGCCCCTTCCGTGGCGTTCCCCGCCCCTTCCGGTACTCGCACCACCCTCCCGCTACCGCCCCGCAAAGCCTCCTGGGACTTGTAGTCCGGCGGCGGCGGCCATGTTGTCACCCCCTTATCACTCCCCCCGGGGCGCTGGGCTGGGCTGGGCTGTTCGTGCCGCTGCCCACAGCACCCCTCGCCCCGCCGTCAGCCACCCCAGAGCGTGCCCCCCTCCGTGCCCCAGCATCCTCAAGGAAGCAGCTCCCTGAGCCCCCGCTGTCACCCATGTCCCTCCGCACGGCCCAGGGCACCGAGCGGCCCCCGCTGCTGGTGGCCCGAAAGCTTGTCACCGTGTCCCCTGTGTGCTTAAACCCACCGGAGATTTAAGGGCACTTCTGCTCCCTGGCTCTGCACCTGGGGGCTGTGGCGAGGGGACCCCCACGGCCGGGGCAGGAGGACCCCGAGTTCCCGCCCCGCGGGCAGAAGCGTGCCCAGCTGGGGACACCGCCCCGGCAATGCCATGTTGGGGTGCAGAATGGCTTGATTTGGGGTTGTTTGAAACCCGTCCCCAAGAGCCCGAGTGGAGATGGCTGCCGGCATCCCAGCCAGAGGAACTGCCCAGTGCTCCCCAGGGACGGGGACAGCAGGGACAGCGGCTCCCTACCAGGCCCAGGCCACCTTGTCCCACGTGGAAATGCCCCCATGGGGCACCCCGAGGTCCCCCAGCGTGAGAGAGCGGCTGGTGGCGGGGGGCTTCCGCTGGCAGCGATGCCATCTGGCTGTCACCCCGCAGGGCACGACGAGGTCGGGGGCTGAGCCCCAGATGTGCATGGCGGACCCTCGGCTGCAGGCTGGCACCCTGCTCCACAGGGCTGGCACTCTCCTCGAGGGCTGGCACCCAAGGGCTTTTGGGTGTCCACTTCTGCCGGGGATCCCCAAACCAGGGCCCCAGAGGTGGCCCCTGAGCAGACAGGCGGGTGCGAGCAGACACGGGGACTGCGAGGACGGTGGGGACAGTGGGAGGGAGGGCAGGGACAGGAGCGGGGCCAGGAGCAGATGACAGCACTGGGGAGGAAACGACGAGTGATGAGCGACTGCTGGGGGGGGGCAGGAAGGGAGGAGCGGACAGGGAGAGGCTTCACAGTTATAAACTTGTCCCTCCTGGTCCCCGCAGCCTCCGACCGGCATGGCCATGGCCGAGGGTCAGAAGCGAGGGGGCTTCAAGAAGTTCAGTAAGTGGCCACAGGATGGGGCGGGTGGGTGATGGGGTGCCCACCTGGACAGCCTGGTGGGGAGAGGGGGATGCATGAGAGCGAGTGTGAGTGTGAGCGTGAGTGTGTGCTCACACGCTCCCCGGGTCACTACCTCCCGGGGCTGTTTGGAGCCAAGACGGGCTCTGGTCTCGTTAGGAAGCTTGTTGGGGTGAGGGGCTTTGGGGGTTTCCATCCCCACAGCTGGGAGTGAGCTCGGGTGCTGTTGGCTCAGGAGCTGGGTGCTGGGATTGGGACCAGTCTGCTGCAGCCCAGCCCCGCACTGGGTGCCGGGATGCACCCAGGAGGATGCACAAGGGGGTTTGTGGGTCTTCACTCCCCAAATCACATCCTTCAGAGGGCACGGCTGGGGGTGCAAGCCGGTGCCAGGGGCTGGGGGTGGGCAGGCCCCCCACCCCAGGGCGCTCCTGCAGCACAGGGACGGGGGTGACATGGAGGAGCTGGGGTGGGAGCCTGGGAGCAGATTCCCGCCGGCTGCTCTTGGAGGAAGCACTCGGTACCCGCCGGGAGCGAGCTCTGCTCTTTCTCACAGACCTTGGGTTTCCCCCAGAGCCCCAGGAGGCAGCTGCAGCAGCCTTCACCCCGCTTCCCAGCGCTGGGCTGTGCGGGAGCCAGCCTTTGCTGCTGCTCTCTGCATTTCTGCTGTGATGCCGGCGCG